AAGTAACTTTTATTTTTAAATAGCAGTATGCCAACATGGCCTATGGTAGGGCTGCCTGCTTTTGGCCTCTGCAGCTCAGTCTGACAATCCTAGCCAACAGGAAGCTTTTTGGCTTGATGGAAACCTCCAAGAGCTAGAGGAGAGCCAGCCTGGCATACAGCTTAAAGTGAAGTTCTCAGGTTATCAGCCTCCAAAACAGCCCTCCTTGCAAGAAGGCAGAAAAATCACAAGGGATGCATAAATCACTTTCCTCAAAGTAAAAACATTCTAAGATTATTAAAACTGAAGGCAGGAACTATTCAGTTGTGTCTATAAAATAATACAATGCATTTTCATGAATGATATGTGGACTTAACAACTTTGGGTTGGAGGAGAACATCACACTATTAATCACTGAGGTTTCTTCTACTTCTAACATTCTTATTTTATAAACAAAGTGGTATAGCCAAAATTATAGCTCGGGTCTTCTGTTTCTTGATTTAAACACCTTGCCTCAGCAGCAGCCTGTATATTCTAGATTAAAATGTAGATTCATGACCCCTCTGATTAAACTCTTCTAGTCAATCAGAATCTCTGGCTGTTGGATCTAAAAATCTACATTTTAAAGAATCTACTTAGTGAGGCACCTGGGTGGCTCAGTTGGTTAAGCATCTGCCTTCAGCTCGGGTCATGATCCCAGGGTCCTGGGATGGAGTGCCTCATTGGGATCCTTGCTCTGCTGGGGAGCTTGCTTCTCCCTCTGCCTACTGCTCCCCCTGCTTGTGCTCTCTTTCTCTGTTAAATAAATAAATAAAATAAAAATAAAGAATCTATTTAGCATATTCTTACATTCATTGAAGTTTGAGAATCACTGTCACAGCCTGAAGTCCTGTTGTTCTTTTATAGTCAGAATATCCAAGACAACTGTGCCGTGTTCTCAAACTCGGGTTGCTTAGCTGTCCACCAGGGATTGAGGACTTCTGCCTCCAAAAACTACCTTATCCTTATACCTAATGCCTTGATAGGCACTCAACACATACAATTTGAATACTGAAATATGGTTTATTTTGGAAAGAAATGGGAATTCAAAATCGAGGCCTCACAATTTCTCCTACTTTGGATATGAAATCCAGTTGTTTTATGACCTCATCAGACTCTGCTTTTTGTTCTTTAGACAACTTACTGGCAATTAGCATTATCTTTTGTATTAGAGCATGGAGTCAGCAAACTGCCTAGCATGAGAGACCAAATGTAACCCATTGCCTGCTTCTGTAAACAAAGACACAGCCACACTCGTCGCTTTACCTATTGTCTCTGGCTCCTTTGTGCTACAGTGGGAGACCTGTTCAGTTGTGACAGAAACCTTATGCCCCACAGAGCCGAAACAGTTATCCGGCTCTTTACAGAAAAAAGTTCGCTGCCCACCTCCACTAGAGGGAAAAAAGAAAAAAGGAATTTGTTTCAGATTTTGCCTTTTTAAGGTTTTTTTTTCCCTCCCCTGGTAAAAGATCTGATGTACAACTGCCAACAACAGCCAGTGAAAATTAACTGGGATTTTTTTGAGCACTTTATAAAATACTCTCTTTTTCTGAACCTATCTACCTACTGAGCCTTCTTGGGAACCTAAAATTTATACTAGTTAAGGGAGTGTTTCTCAAAGATCTCAAGTAGATCCCGTACTCTCTGTCTCTAAATCATCTGGAGTGCTTATTTAAAATGCAGATTCCCACCAAAGACCTAGTATGTGAGAATTTCTGGGGGGTATACCTGGACATTTGATAACTCCTTCTTTTGTAGCTATCAATGCATCTGGCTCCTGTCTCTGTTATGACACTCAAGATATATTTATTTGTTTACCTGCTTGTCTCAGGACTGTGAACTCCTTCAGGGTAGGTATTGTGTTATTCATTACTTTTATATTCAGGGCTGCAGGCTGGGCACATTTAATTGCTATAGTTCTCAAAAGGTAGTCCACGCATGCTGGGGCTCCTTTCAGGGATCATGAGATCAAAACTATTAAGACATGATTTGCTTTTTTTGCTGTGTTTCTGACATTTGCACTGTTGATGCAAAAGCAATGGTGGGTAAAACTGCTGGCAGCTTAGCAAGAATTAAGGCAGTGGAAATAAATTGTACCGTCATTGTATTGTGCACTGCCATGCGTTCATAATAAAAATAGTGCCCATTTCACTTAAGAATACTGTTCATGAAGTAAAAATTACTAATTTTATTAAATATTAACCCTTGGGGCACCTGGGTGGCTCAGTTGGTTAAGCATCTGCTTTTGGCTCTGGTCGTGATCCCAGGGTCCTGGGATCGAGCCCCACATCAGGCTCCCTGCGGGAAGTCTGTTTCTCCCTCTCCCTTCCCCGGTTCATGCTCTCTCTCGCGTGTTCTCTCTCTCAAATAAATAAATAAAATCTTTAAAAAAAAATTAACCCTCGCATTCACACTTTTTCATATTCTGTGTGACAAAATAGTATGCATAAAACAGTTCTGCATATTGAAGTATGCTGGTCTGTTGAGGAAAAAGCACTTAACAGGTGATTTGAATTGGTAACTGAACTAGCTACTCTGTTTTTCGTGGATCTTCATTTTTACTTAAAAGTACAAAAGAGGGGGCGCCTGTGTGGCTCAGTTGGTTAAGCATCTGCCTTCAGCTCAGGTCGTGATCCCAGGATCCTGGGATCAAGCCCGCATCAGGCTCCCTGCTCAGTGAGGAAGCTGTTTCTCCCTCTCCCTCTGCTTGCTCTTCTACTACTTGTGCTCTCTTTCTCTGTCAAATAAATAAATAAAATCTTAAAAAAAAAAAGGTACAACGGAGAATTAGGGCTAGTCAGATTTAGCTATTTGACAGAGCATCTCTTGAAAATAAAGTGAGCTTGTTACTTCAAGGGAAACAACTGATAGTATTTGTTGCCAATGATAAAATATGACCTTTCAAGACAAAGCAGACTTTAGAGAACTTTCATTTGCTTAGAGCTTGACAGCTTCCCAATACTTAAAGGCTCTTCTAATGAGACTGGTGATAATAAAAAATATATATATATTATATAATGAAATGTGTTAACATTTGGGGGACTGAATAGAATAGTGAACTGATATTTTCCAAATAACCAATGCTTGATGTCCGAAATCATGTATAGGTAAAAGATCCATTCAAAGTGCAAGATAGACCAATGGATTTTAATGTTTCGGAATACAAAATATTCACTGATAGGTTTTCAGATTCCATATTGCAACTAACCTTTAAGAAGCCACCATTTGTTGAACTTTAGTGTAGCATTAAAAAGAACAGCCATAATTGTCTGAAGAGGCTATTAAAATACTTCTTCCTTCTCCAACTACATAGTTGAAGGAGGTTGGGTTTTCTTCATATACTTCAACCAAAACTAAAGTTGTAATTTGAATGCAGAAGAAAATATGAGAATCTAACAATTTTCTATTAAACCAGACATTAAAGAAATTTATAAAAATGTAAAGCAATGTCCTCCTTTCCCCTGATTTTTTTCATTTTGGAAAGTTACTTTTCCATTAAAAAATTCATTTACAAGAAATGGGTTTTTAATGTTATTTTAAATGAATTAGTAAACATTTAAATTTGTTTTAATTTCTAGTAAACAGTGATAGATACAACCTAAATAACAATACACTTTAGGGTTCTCAACAAAGGAAAAACCACTGATATCGAGGATACAGAGATTTGGAGACAGGACCTAAATTCAAGGTCTGATTATGTCACTTAAACGAGCTTAGGTAATTACTTAGGTCCAGCCTCTGAAGACAAACACTATGTTTGGTATTTTGGCTCCATCACGTACCGATAGTATGACTTTGGATAAGTCATTTTACCTCTGTAAATAGGGAGGACTATAGTCTGTACTTAAAGTTGCGGTGAGGACTAAATGGATTACACTTGTAAAATGCTTACAAGCCTACCTAGAAACAGTAAGAGCTCAGTAAATGCTAGCTCTTACTATTAGCCTATGATATTAGCTAGTCATCTGACAAGATCCTAGAGAATGGGACAACTCTGGCATTCCTTTCCCTCTCCCTGGAGAGAAGTTTTTTAGGTGTTTTGAGAACGTTTAAGTAAACTTGTGGATATCGGTGTGTGGCTATTAACCTGTAAGAGAATTCATGTGTTATAAAAATTCGTTTTTCTTGGTTTCCGAAGAATTAACAAAACTGAAAACATCCCTGAATCCTTGCCCTATAGTTAGAAAATAGACAAGCGTCTTATTGAATACTCAAAGGAGCTGAGGTCTTCCAGAGAATTAAATACGCAGGACAGCAGGGCAGGGCCATTAACTTCACGACTGTGGGAAATTCAAACTTTTCACTTCAATTATGTCATCGTGTTTGGACAAAAATATCTCGTTTCCAGCCTCTCGTGCAGCTTTTAAATCTGGTGAAGCTCACCTCTACATTTTTTTAGACGTATGTTTTGGCAGCCTCGAAATCCTAAGAAACGTAAGCGGGAGGGGGCAAAGCCCCACAGATAAAGTTTTTTTTTTTTCTTCAAATGCCAACGGTATCCATTCTCTACACCCAGAAATGGAAGCTGCTGCTTGCGCCCTATTGTCCAATTGCTCGCCAGGGGCGTGGCATATGCGTCTCTTTCGGGTTCTCGGCATCTTTCCTGGCCCTTTAGTACAGTTAGAGTAGTTCCAGGGTCAGCGCGTGTCTTCCCATCTAGTCTTCTAGTCTACCAAGTGAGGGGGCTGGGCTGGTTAATTCTGAAGAAGCTTTCTTTCACTGAAACTCAAAATGTTCCCATACACCTACAACGTCTTATCCCCCATCCCCGCCTTTCAAAGACCTCCGACCTCAGACGGAGATTCCGCGCGCCGTCCGGGAGCTAGGGCACGCCCCACGCACCGCCCGCGCGCCCAGCGCTTCGGCTCCCTGCCCGCAGGAAGGAGCCACATCTCGCGCGATTCCTTCTACCTCTCGCGACACTTCCGGCCAGTCTCCTGCGGCCCTCCTTGCCCCACCCATCGTTTCCACGCCGCGGTTTGCACCACCTCACCTCTGCTCTCCGTAGCCCGACCCGCTGCTCGCCCGCTGGGAGCGCAGTGGAGCCCAGTGTTGGGCACGAGCCTGGCGGGGCCGCAGGCTCAGCCCTGCTGCGCTCCGCCCCGCCTGGGCTCGGGGAAAAGGCCGCCGCGGGGACATGTCGTGCCCCCCTCAGCGAGGGCAGGAGTGTGTGAAAGGCAGCGGGGCTGTCAGGTAAACCCGCGACGGCGTGTTGGGGTGGGCGGCTGGGCGGAGGGAGGCCACTGGGCTGCGGGTTGGAGGCATTGCGGGATGGGGATGCCGGTGGCGGAGGAGGACGCGATGCCTGAGGCAGAGAAGAGAGGTGCTTTGAGGACCACCACTGTGGCGGGGAGCGGGGAAGTGACCTCCATCCGGGTGAAGGGGCCAGGCTTGCCTTAGTACGGACTGCGCTTGTTCCATCGGTGGCTCCGCTCCTCTCTACAGGACTGGAAGCGGGAGGAGGCAAGCCCCCGAGATCTGAGGTCCCAGATCTGGGCTGCAGGAGGCCCAGGGTTGTGGGGGAGAGGGACGCGCCAAGGTGGCGGAGGTAAATTGGTGTCAGGAAGAAAGATAAAGCGGCCGAAAGCCTGGAGAGCGTTAGCCCAGAGGAGGCCAGGTGTTTGCCATCCCGCTGCTCTCGGTGCTGAGATACCAATAATGCTCACTCCCCTCAAATTGAGTACACTTGGGTGTGTGAAGTTCCTTGCCTGGTGGTCTGAGTGTTGAAGGGGTAGGACCACATAGGTCAGAGTCGTGTTTGAGAGAAGGAGGCATTTGAGGTCACTTGTTACTTTTCTCCTGAGACTTGGACGGTGGGAGTGGGTGCGCGCGTGCGCACAGTGGCTCAAACTAGGGTTCGTGTTTTCAGAATTTGTGTCCTAGTCACTAATTAAGTACACTTCAAGGATCAATAGAAGGTGACAGGGTCTTAAGTGAATAGTTTTACTTTCAGTATTTTAAGATTCTGATAAGCATGTAAGTGTGTAATGATAGGGGCCTGGAGCCTAAAATCTAGGTGTTATTAAGACGGAGTAAATTTTTTGCCTTTAGCAATAGATTTAGATTGAAATTGAGGTAAGATGTTTTGTTGCAATAAATTTTTGACCATGTGTTTCTTCTGATTCTGGGTTTGTCTTTTTTTTTTTAAGTCATTTTAATTTTATTATTTTAAAAATTGTATTTATTTGAAAGACAGAGAGTGAGCGAGAGCAGGAGCAGGGGAAGGAGCAGAGGGAGAAGGAAACTCCCCGCTGAGCAGGGAGCCCAGTGTCATGCAGGGCTCCAGAGCCAAGGGCCTTGAGATCATGATCTGAGCCAAACGCAGGTGCTTCACTGGCAGAATCATCCAGGGCCCCTCTGGTTTGTCTATATTAAAGCCACGCAATTTTCTGAGAGAATTGGGAAATCAGTGTAAGGTGGTTGGTCTGACTATAAAAAGCATTTTGTTTAAACCTCCCCCTCAAATTCAGCTGTTAATTTGCATGTTATTTCTGTATTCAGTTGTGTGGCCCTTGAGATTTTCTTTTCCAGAAATGACACCTTAAAATGACCAGTTGTGTGTGTGAGAGAGAGAGAGAAATTTCACTTTTAATAGAAGAAAAATGATTTTTCCCAATAGTTTTCTTGTATCTTGTCTTTTAGAGAGCGAAATGTCATCAGTGGAATCACACCAGGAACAATTGTCCCAGTCAGATCCATCCCCGTCACCAAACTCATGTAGTTCCTTTGAGCTACTAGACATGGACACTGGCAGTTTGTATGAGCCAGTTTCTCCTCATTGGTTTTATTGTAAAATAATAGATTCTAAGGAGACATGGATTCCTTTCAACTCTGAGGATTCACAGCAGCTGGAAGAGGCATATGGATCTGGTAAGATGGAAATGACTTCTGATAGATTAAGACTATTTCTCTCAGTCTAAGACAGTAGTTCTTGTATTGAGTGCTATTAAAAATATTAGATTTTTTTCTATTTTTTTTCTGTAGCATTTTTTTGGGCTGTTCTCTTCTGTAGCATATTTATATAGAAATAGAAGCTTTGCATTACTAACCAGTTACATTATAATATTTAAGAATTTGGTTTATATTTGAAAACAGTACTTAATTTCTGCATAGTTATCTAATAATATTTCTTATATTCTAGCATGTTTCAGTTTTTGTTTATGAAGAATGGGGGCATGTCACATTGCAAAAGAATGAATTCTAACTTGTTTCTTGTTTTTTCCTCTTTTATGAAACAAGAATGATGCCGGTAACTTTTATCATCATGACGGTCATGGTTGTTAATTTACTTTTTGGCCCCTCAAGAAAAAAATTCAGAAAGCCTTATATACTTTGTTTGTTTAATGGGACACTACTATCTCAGAAAAAGAACAAAACAGCATTTGGGTATTATTTTTTTCATGTTTCATTAAAACCAAGAATGGTTTTGATGGTTTGTGAATTAGTTAAAAAATATCAATTCCATTTTGTTTAATGTTTAGGCAAGTAGAATATGTTCATTCTTAGGTCTCATTACATTATTTAGAGTATAACTCAGAATTGTATTTTGGGAGGTTTATTTTGATATATGTACTTCTTTCCCCCTTTGCAATCCTTGATAGGAAAAGATTGTAATGGGAGAGTTGTCCCCACTGATGGGGGCAGATATGATGTGCATTTGGGGGAGAGGATGCGGTATGCTGTATACTGGGATGAGCTAGCATCAGAAGTGAGACGATGTACCTGGTTTTACAAAGGAGACAAAGATAATAAGTATGTTCCCTACTCAGAGAGCTTCAGCCAAGTATTAGAGGTATTCCTTTGAGCCCTTTTTACTTATTTTCATTTTTTTCTTCTTCTATTTAATAATCTTCTCTTGTGACTTGTTTTTGTGAAATTTCTAGAAAGAGTTTGGTTGTATCTGGATCACATTTGTAGCATTTCTTTTGCGAGTTAGTTTCAAGATAAAGTAGTTTTTATTTTCAGATTTTAAAATACTATGTAGAATGTTATGCCTTTAAGTTAAAATTTTTTCCCTAACGGTGATCATTGTTAATAATATTTAAATTATGACCACAGGATTGGTCTTTTAGCCTTTTATTTTTCTGGCTCTGGAAACAGTCTGAAATTTGCCTTCTTTAAATTGGAGTAGACATTAATATTATTGAAAGAAGTATATCAGAATATGAATAGTGATTTTATCTAGTCTAGATGATAAAAATAAGAGGGAATTTTGTTGTTACTATTATCTGTTGTAATTTTAAAAGAATTTTCAAATATTTGATACATTGGAGTTGGATATTCTTACCTAATTGTTTATCTAGCAGTATTCTCCTAAAAAAAAGTTCAGTTTTAATAGAAAAGCTATTAGAGAAATCTAATGAAATGTGTTTTCTGTTAAGGAAACATACATGCTTGCTGTAACTCTGGATGAGTGGAAAAAGAAACTGGAGTCTCCTAACAGAGAAATTATTATATTACACAATCCAAAGGTAAAGCAAATTAAGCCTTTCTTTCATGTGGGATTAAAGTTAATTGCATTACTAAGGAGAGCTTAATTGGTTTCTTTTTCATAGGGATTCTATTTAGGCTATCCTTTGGAAATTTTTACATTGCATTCACAATTATGAAACTTGTAGCCAGTGCCACCATTTTTTACCTTCTTCACCTTATACAAAACAATTTTCTTAGGGAAAATTACAACACTATAAATTAAGAATATCACTGACACATTATGTGGGCATATTTTACGTGTGTAGGGTATTATTGAAAGATGTTAGCCTGATTTTTTTTTCTTTTTTGGCTTTATTGAGGTATAATTGACAAAATCATAAGGTATTTAATATGTACAACATTGGCCTACTGTATTTTCAGGGTTCTCATTTCCAGCCATCAGAGTTGGGTATCAAAACTCTAGTTGAGATTTGACTATGTATTCTGTCTTGAAAAACCTGTTCCTATCCCTGAGAATGTATAAATAGAGATGTCTATAATGCAGAATATATTTATTGCTTTGATCTTTTTTATTTAAGCTTATGGTGCATTACCAGCCAGTTGCAGGGTCCGATGAATGGGGTTCAACACCCACTGAACAGGGTCGACCAAGGACAGTGAAGAGAGGGGTTGAGAACATTTCTGTTGACATTCATTGTGGTAATGTTAATTGTTTATTTTTTCTTCTGATGTACTTGTTTATGACTTAAATGTGACCTTTTTCTATGGTTTTGGATTACCTCAAGGCTTAAAAATGATTTAGTCATATGGGCTTATTATGAGTTAAGATTAGCATTACTTCATCTACTAAGAATCTTTTTTAAATTTTATTTATTTATTTTAGAGAGAGAGAGCATACAAGTAGGTGGGGCAGAGGGAGAAGGAGAGAGAATCTCAAGGAGATTCTGCGCTGAATGTGGAGCTGGAGGTGGGGCTCCATCTCATGACCCTGAGATCACAACCTGAGCCGAAACTTAGTCACTGAGAATCTTAATAGATGTAAAAATCTATTTTAAAGTTGCTAAGTATATATATTGTGGGATGGGTAAAATTTGGCAGTACTAATCAAGAAGTCACTTGGTACAAATAAACTGATTTAGTCCTAATTTTAAGAAGTGTGATTCTACCTATTTGATTAAAATTAATCAATTATTAATTCTGGTAAAATTAATGAATCAAAAATTAATTCTGGTAACTCCTGTTCTTGAAGATTGTGAACTAAGGAAAATTTTTTCAGTGAACTTTAGTGGTTATCCATCGCTATCTATCTGGGGCCATTTATGGTTGGTTTTATAATATATTTAACTGGATTAGAAAATTCCTTTTTATCTCTGAGAGGAGATGGCTTATCTTAGTCTTACTATAATTTAAAAAGATGAGTTTAGGGGCACCTGGCTGGCTCACTCAGGGGACTGTATGAATCTTGATCTCAGGGTTGTAAATTCAAGCCCCATATTGGGTATAGAGATTACTTAAATAAAAACTTAAAAAAATAAAAAGATGAGTTTAAAATTTTAGGGTTTATATATACACCAGACATTATTGGTATAATTGATAAAAATGGACTATTAGATAAAAGTATCCTACCAGTGTTATGTTGCCTGAATTTGATTACTGTGGTTATTTAAGAAAATATTCTTAGGAAATACATATTAAAGTATTTAAAGGGTTAAGTATTTAAAGAGGTATGATGTATGCAGTCTGATAATAGATGCAACCTGCTTCCAGATGGTTCAGAAAAATGAATGTGTGTGTAAACACACATAGAAAATAATAAAGCAGGGCGCCTGGGTGGCTCAGTGGGTTGAGCCACTGCCTTCGGCTCAGGTCATGATCTCGGGGTCCTGGGATCGAGTCACTCATCGGGCTCTCTGCTCGACAGGGAGCCTGCTTCCCTCTCTCTCTCTGCCTGCCTCTCTGTCTACTTGTGATCTCTCTCTGTCAAATAAATAATAAATAAAATCTTAAAAAAAAAAAAGAAAAAAAATAATAAAGCAAATGTAAGTGTTGAAGTGTCGAATCTATAAAAAGTGTATGAGAGTGTCGATACAATTCTTTCATGTTTTTTGTAAGGTTGCAGTTATTTCAAAATGAAAAGTTTAAAGTCTGAAAAATTTTTTTACAGATTTATGTCAAGATAAATTAGAAACATGGTAAAATCATTATTTTACTAAGTAAAATATAGGACTGTTCGTGTCCTTTAAATGTTCTGCTGGGGATGCCTGAATGGCTCAGTCGGTTAAGCGACTGACTTGAATTTGGCTCAGGTAATGATCTCAGCGTTACAAGATTGAGCCTCTGCTGAGCTTGTCTGTCTCCCTCTGTTCCTCTCCCTACTTCTCAAATGAATAAATAAATTCTTTTTAAAAAATGATTTTGTATTTTAATTTGCCCATTTTTATAACTTATTCTTTGTGAATGTTTGACTATAAACAGAGTTTAAGACTATTTATATGAAATGTTTTTTCTTTTTAATATCATTTACAGGAGAACCTTTACAAATAGATCACTTGGTTTTTGTAGTCCATGGGATTGGACCAGCTTGTGATCTCCGCTTTCGAAGCATTGTACAGTGTGGTAGGTTTGCAAAGCATGTAAGATTAAATCATTTAAGGGGGAATATTAGTCAGTGCTCCTGTGAGCCAAGATAAAGTGTTGTTTTTAGTCTTTTATCTGCATAATAAGATTTGGAGAGCTAAAGACAGGTGGCAAGGTAGTAAAGCTTCTTAACTTAGACCTAAAGACTGGTGAATTCCTTAGGCTAATAGTTTATACTCTTAACTAATAATTCTTGAATGAACAAGCCCTTAATCCTTATAAAATTGTTTTATGAATGTGATGGTCCTCTCTCTAACCACTCTAAATTTAAAGGGAACCAAAAAGGTGATATAGTTTATTTATTTATTTATTTATTAACATTTATTTATTTGACAGAGAGAGTGTGATCGGGGGAGGGAAAACAGGTGGGGATAGAAGAGGGAGAAGCAGGCTTCCCGCTGAGCAGGGAGCCTGATGTGGGGCTCCATCCCAGGACCCTGGGATCTTGACCTGAGCCAAAGGCAGACACTTAATGACTGTGCCGCCTAGGTGCCTCAATGATATAGTTTAAATGAATAACAGAAACTTAAGTCATTTTTGTAATTCATAGTATGATAAAGCTCTTGATGTTCTACTTGGAATATTTAGGTCATTAGTATAAGTTGATTTTAAAAGGTAGTGTCTTCTAAAACTTAATAGTACATATTCAGAGTCTCCCAACTTGGGAATCTTCTACTGGTTAATGCTTCTAAGCAGAAACCTTCTGGAAGGTTAAGACTGTTGTAGTATGAATTTCAAATAGCAGTTTGTTTGTTTTTTTAAATCTAAAATATTGGTTAGAGGTTGTTTATAAGAACCAGAAAGTTAGTTAGGAATCTAACTGTAAGGCCAATTGACACAGTCATGTGATTTTTTTGTTTTTTAAAAAATTGAAATAGTTCCCATGACACAGAAGTTTTGAAGTTAACTTTTTTTTTCTTTTTTTTTTTTAAGATTTTATTCATTTATTTGGCCGAGAGAGAGATCACAAGTAGGTAGAGAGACAGGCATAGAGAGAGGGGGAGCAGCCTCCCCGCTGAGTGGAGAGCCTGATGCGGGGCTCAATCCCAGGACCCTGAGATCATGACCTGAACCGAAGGCAGAGGTTTAACCCGCTGAGCCACCCAGGCGCCCCTTAACTTTTCTTTAGATAAAGTGTTTTGTATAAAATAATGTTCTGTGTTAAAGGAATAGCTTTTGTGCACTGATATTTCCTGAATACCACTTTGCTGTTTTTCACTTAAGTAAATATGTGTTCTAAGCAAACAGAGAGAGCATAATTATGTGATCTATTGCATCCTTATTCTATGAATTCATTGCTTCCCTGGTATGCATAAGTTAATGTCTTTTCCAGTTAACGATTTTCGCAGTGTTTCCTTGAACCTGCTGCAGACACATTTTAAGAAAGCCCAAGAAAATCAGCAGATTGGAAGGGTAGAATTTCTTCCAGTCAACTGGCATAGTCCTTTGCATTCTACTGGTGTGGATGTGTGAGTAATACCTTATGTCTTTGAGTTGTTAACTAAGATTATAATGCATTTTCTGATCATTGATATGGTTGGGATATTTCTGCTATAGCTAATTATATAAAAATTTGTTCAATGAGAAGTTTTTTGTACTTCTATGTCTTTTCTTAGAGATACATTATTAAATGCTGACCTGGTGAGGCGTAAAGAACTGTGTGTATTTTACAGTATGTCTTACTAGCTCGTTAGTATTTTCTATTATAGCTATTATTATTTCTTTAGCATTAAAACCAAACATTGCTTTATTCCTATAGTGTATAAGCATTTCCATCTTAGATGTCAAAGCCAGCCTACCTCAAGATGTACAAAGTATTTTGTTGTTCCTTTTGTGATCATATTTAGATAATATTTGTCCATGTTGGGGGAAAAAAAGGAAATTCCTGAACATTAAGTTATTAGCATTTATAACCTGAGTTATAATTCATACAACTTTTAAGTGATGGCTTTCTTAAGTCACAAACCCAGTTTTGTTTGTAGATTTTATGGTAATGTCAGAGAAGTTTGCCTTATATTAAGGATATTTTGGAGAGCCGTAGGCTCTCCAGAAAGAAGTGTGTTCATGATATAGTTCTAGGATAAAATGGCAGATGCTTTTCCTGAAGATAAAGGAAGTAGTCAGTATTATTTCCATGTTGGTCTTGGAAATGGCTTTTCTGATTCTGTGTCTCTCAGTTCTTAATACCGTATGATTTGAGCATATTCCATATGCCAGATGTTGTAGTATGGTGTTGCTTTTACTAGGCATAGAGTTCACATTCTTCAGGTTTGAGCTGATGCTAAGAGGTTCCTAAGGGCAAATTGCTCCCTAAACTACAGAAGCTGTTGAATCTTTGAGGACTCTTTCTGGGTATTTTGAGAAAGCTTTAACTGGAAGTTGATTTGGATAATGTCAGCATGGTTTTTCTTTTTGAGATGTTCTGTTTGCCTTTGGCATCTGGTAGTCTCTCTTTCAGCTTTCAGAAATTCTGCATTGAGAAAGGGAGCTGATCCACTTATCATTTGACTTGTGATCAAAAAACCTTAATGCTGAGAATTCTAGAAAAATCATCTTGTATTTTCTGTCTTTAAAAATTCTTTATTACAGAGAATTTTGTATACAAAAATAGCTTATATAATGAATCTTCATATACAGATTATGATTACCCAGGACAAACAAGCCTGAACACATGGTCAGTTCTGCTCTGTCCATTATTTTTCAACCTCTGTCTACTGCCCATCCTTCCACCATATTATTTTTGAACCAAATCTTATTATATCATTTCATCTGTAAATGTATGTTTGTATATCAGAAAGGACTTTCATTTATTTTTATTTTTTTATTAACATATAATGTATTATTTTTATTCAGGGGTACAGGTCTGTGAATCATCAGTCTTACACAACTCACAGCACTCACCATAGCACATACCCTCCCCAGTTACCATCACCCAGCCACTCTATCCCTCCCACCTCCCTCCCCACCAGCAACCCTCAATTTGTTTCCTGAGATTAAGAGTCTCTTATGGTTTGTCTCCCTGCCCGTCCCGTCTTGTTTCATTTTTCCCTCCCTTCCTCCCATGACCCCCGCCCTGCCTCTCAAATTAACTATATCAGAGAGATCATATGATAATTGTTTTTCTCTGATTGACTTATTTCGCTTAGCATAATACCCTCTAGTTCCATCCACATCATTGCAAATGGCAAGATTTGGGGGTTTTTGATGGCTGCATTGTATTGTATTCCATTGTATATCTATGCCACATCTTCTTTATCCATTCATCTGTTGATGGCGGAAAGGACCTTTAAAAATATATTAACCATAACACCATTATCACACCTAAAAAAATTGTTTTTTTAAAAGAGTTATTTATTTATTTATTTATTTGAGAGAGAGAGAGAGAGAGCATGCATGAGCAGGGGGAGGGACAGAAGGTGGGGGAGACAAGCAGACTGCCAGCTGAGCACCCAGGTGCCCCTAAAAAAGTTCTTAATATCAGCAAATATACAGTGTTCAAGTTTCCAGTTGTCTAGTAAATGTAATTTTATACACACACAATTTATTTATTTTGGTTAAAGACTTTATTTATTTATTTGACAGAGAGAGAGAGATCAAACACAAGCAGGGAGACAGGGAGGTAGAGGAAGAAGCAGACTCCCTACTGAGCAAGGAGCCCGACTTGGGCCTTGATCCTAGGGCCCTGGGATCATGACCTGAGCCGAAGGCAGAAGCTGAACCGACTGAGCCACCCGGGAGCCCCTTGTTGATTTGTCTTTTAAGTCTCTTTTAATCTCTTGATTACCTTTCCATCTCTTAGCTCCTTGTAATTTATGTATTAAAGAAGTTGTCTTGTAGAGATTCTTACTGACTTTTGCTGATCACATCGTTTTGACTTAATTAAACATGTCTCTGAGTCCTTTGTGTTTCCTATTAATAGATACTGTCTCTTGTATCTTTAAATATCTAAGTCTAAGCTTGAAGGCTAAGCTGGATAATAACTTAGAGGAGGTTATAGAATGTATTAGGTTTTCTGCTTAAAATATATATGTGTATGTGTGTGTATATATATATATGTATATATATATTTTTTCCCCCCTCAGAGATCTGCAGCGAATAACTCTGCCCAGCATTAATCGCCTAAGGCACTTCACCAATGACACAATTCTGGATGTCTTCTTCTATAATAGCCCCACCTACTGTCAGACTATCGTGGACACAGTTGCTTCTGAAATGAACCGAATATATACACTTTTTCTTCAGAGGAACCCTGATTTCAAAGGGGGTGTATCCATTGCTGGTCATAGTTTAGGTAACAAATGAATTCTCTGTGATCAGAGAGGACTACCACATATTAAGGACACCTGATTTTGAAGTACAATGTCTTCCCTGTATCACATTTAGAGGCCTAGAACTGGTCTGTGATGAAGAATTTGGAAGGGGTTGGAAGGGGGTGGTGGTGGATTGGAAAAAAAAAACTTTCTGCTTCATAGATTTTGCTACATGGGTAATTGGCTTAATACTTCTTGTATAAAAGCTGTGTAGTGCCAGTACTTAGAAATTGTCCCTTCTTTCTTCTGTTTTAGGTTCACTTATACTGTTTGATATACTAACAAATCAGAAAGATTCTTTGGGGGATATGGACAGTGAAAAGGTAATTTAGATACACAGATATACTTCTCTTGTACCATTTCTTAAGACGATTTTTAGATTTTAGACTTACTTTTTTGTCTTTTTGCTTAGTTTAGTCCCATACCGTAACACATTAATTTTACATTTATTTTAATTTTAATAGACTTATCTCTTGGTATCTTCTTGGATGACAGAAGCAAGATAGTCATAAGCTTCCACAAATATTTGCCACATTCTAAAATAACTATAGGTATCTTATTTTCCATTATAAATATGTACTTCTCTTCTGTTATTAGAATTATAGAATCATTGAACTGAAATGGAGTTTACATATGAGGAAATGAAGAATGAATTGGACACAAAGTGATATAATTTGTAGAAATTCCCTTTGAAAGCGGTGGGGGGACTTGGTGTTTAAACATCTTTTGTAGGGCACCTGGGTGGCTCAGTCAGTTAAATGTCTGCCTTTGGCTCAGGTCATGATCCCAGGGTCTTGGGATCAAGCCCTGAGTCTGGTTCTCTGCTCAGCGGGGAGTCTGCTTCTGTCTCCCTCCTCCGCTCCCTCTGCTTGTGCTCTTTCGCTCTCTCACATAAATAAATAAAATCTTTAAAACAAAACATCTGTAAAACAAAGTCCTGTGACACATTATAGTTTTGAATTAGTAGTTAGCATATACTATCTTGTATGTTTTCTCTTTTTATATAAGTGTCATTTCTATTGTTGGACTGTGAGTTCTTCCAGGACAGGGGCTTTATTTTAAGATTGTTTTATGTCTTAAATACTCTTTCTGTAATAAGAACTCAATGAATGTTTTGTTAATGAAGATGAAGAACACTTTGATAATATTCATGCATTCATTTATTTGAAAACATTGTTTCAACTAAAGTTGCAAACTTAGAGATTAACTACTTAATTTATATTTTGTACAAATTACAATTTATTTAAAGTTATGTATATCTTTATATAGAACTCTTTTTTTTATATAGAACTCTTATATAGTACATTATTTTTATTGCTGATAGTACTAATAAAGGACCATCTAAATGAATTTAGAGAATATGAGCTTTACAATTTAATTTTTAGGATGCACCAAATATTGTCATGGATGAGGGAGACACACTGACGCTAGAGGAAGATTTGAAGAAACTTCAACTCTCCGAATTCTTTAATCTCTTTGAGAAGGAGAAAGTAGATAAGGAAGCGCTGGTAAAATAATCTTTTAAAACTTCATGCTAGGGGCACCTGGGTGGCTCAGTGGGTTAAGCTGCTGCCTTCGGCTCAGGTCATGATCTCGGGGTCCTGGGATCGAGTCCCGCATCGGGCTCTCTGCTCAGCGGTGAGCCTGCTTTCCTCTCTCTCTCTCTCTCTGCCTTCCTCTCTGCCTGCTTGTGATCTCTCTCTCTGTCAAATAAATAAATAAATAAAATCTTTAAAAAAACAAACAAAAAAACTTCATGCTTATACCATTTTTAATATTTTTAGGTTTATCTTCATCTTAGTGCTGACTAAGAGCCTGCCCTTCAGAAGCATTTTAGTCATAAAAACTCTGTTATCATTAGTAATGTCCTAAAGCATTATTTATGTGTTTTTTATCTTATAAAGTGATCTTTGCTTTGTTGGAGACCAAAGTTCAGAGGAGCCATACTGACAAACATATAGTGATAGAGCAAAGACTAAAAAACAACATAGCTCAGAAAACAGAGTAAGAATAAATGACCACTTATCATTCCAGCTTATTTTCTCTTATACTTCAAGAGCCCTACTGTTGATATTTGCTTATTTGTTTTTGGTTTTCTGCCACTTTTTTTTTTTTTTGCTTTTTTTCAGGCTTGCAATACATTCATTCATTTAATAGGTATTTAGTGAATGCTTAATATGAGCAGGCATGCTCTACCATGTACTAGACTAGAGATAGAGTGGTCAGTAAGGTATTATGTAAACCATAAACATATAAACATAAACATTGTGTTTATGGCTTAGTGGGGAAGACACATATCAAATAAACATAATTAATTACAATTGTGGTAAGTTCTAAATTGGAAAATTACATAGTAGTATTAAGAATGTATAATAAGACTAGTAGTCTGGGAGGGTGAAGGAAAACTTAACCTAACCAGGTGAGTAGCACCTAAGCTGAGATCTTGATTGTTAGTTTGTTTCATGCTCAGTGTTTGCTGTATGTTCTTACTGCTTATGTCCATGAGTAGGGATAGAATCTTTCTCAGGACTGTGACATCTAAGCATGGAAATCAAGGAATGTTCTTTTGTCATGTAGGTAGATACCCACTTCTATAGGTTTTTTTAAATACATCTATATGTATAATAATACAATGTCATCTGTATTACTGTAGTATTGATACTATAGTACTGGTACCTTTTATTCTTCTTTAGGCTTTTATGAATAAAGTACTTTTTCCCCCTCAAAATTATTAATGATGTACCAGTAGGGACCCCTATTAATATAAAAAAGAATAGTAGTGCTTAGGTCTCATTCCTCTCAGAGAACAGGACATTTAATTCTTTTTATTTTGCCTAGAAATAAGGATATTTGATTTTCTGTGCCTAGGCTTTATGTACTGACAAAGATCTTCAAGAAATGGGAATTCCCTTAGGACCAAGAAAGAAGATATTAAACTACTTTAGGACCAGAAAAAATTTAATGGTATGTGTATAATATAGCTTGTAGGATTAAATGGTTTTTGACATCCTTATATCCTTTGTGATGTGGTTAGGCAGCTAAGCAACTTTGTTAACTGATCTTTGGCTCTCTTTAGAAATTAAACACATTTTCTTAATTGATATCCTTAAAAAATATTACTAGCTTCAGAAGTCTTGTCTCCCCTGGAGTCTTCCCACCATTCCATTTTTTTCCTTTTTTTAAAAATTTCATAATCACTTTATTGAAATATAATTCATATAACATACCATAAAATTGACCCTTTTAAAGTATACAGTTCAGTCATTTTTAGTGTATTTGCAGAGGTGTGTCACGATTACCACTATCTAATTTGAGAACTTTTACATCACCCTAAAAAGAAACCCCATACTCATTAGCAGTCACTCACCATTCCTCCCTCCTGTGAACCACTGGTCTACTTCCTGTCATGGTGGATTTTGTTGTTCTGGACATTTCATCTAAATGGAATTATACAGTGTGTGGCTTTTTGTGACTGGCTTCTTTTGCTTTAGAATAATGAATTTGAGGTTTATCCATGTTGTAATAGTACTTTTACATTTAGTTTTTTCGCCCACTAAATTCCTTTCCATATCTTAGCAGTTATTTTTCAACTTTGTAGCAGATTGCTTAGTTCTTATTCAAGGCCCAGTTCGTGGCCCAGTATCTATATCATTTTGTATACCCATAGAGACATTCTACTTAAAAGGGAATTGTGCTTCATTGAAACCCTTCGAGGCCCTCGGTATTCCTCTTCATCATGCTCTGCTGTTGTTTCTCTCATAATGGATGCCTAAAGTTTCAGCTGCCGCCCAGATAGCTGTGTACAGCTTTCATTGATTTAGAGCATGTAAGGATGTCCGTTCATCACTTAGGACAACTTTTGTTTTCATCAGCTTTATTTGTTTTCTGAGACTCTTCCTAGAATTATTCAAAACTTTCCTAAGTATCCTTTCAGACTGTGTATTTCTTTGGATATTTTTAGAACATAACAGCTCCACAGAATTATTTTATTCTTTAGGGTATTAATAGACCAACCCTGCAGCCAGCTTCAGGGGTGACTATATCCAACATCCTCAAAGAACCAGGCTTCTGCAGTAAAACCAATGCTACTGGAAATGGTGACTATCTGGATGTTGGCATTGGGCAGGTAATAATACTAATTACTTTGAGTCATTTCATTGCGTGCCCTTGGTATGGTAGGAACAGAGGTCACTTTTGTTATCAATGAGAGATACTTTTTTATCTTTTTTCCAGGTGTCTGTAAAATACCCCCGGCTCATCTACAAACCAGAAATATTCTTTGCCTTTGGATCTCCCATTGGAATGTTCCTTACTGTCCGAGGACTAAAAAGAATTGATCCCAACTATAAATTTCCAACATGCAAAGGTTTTTTCAATATCTATCACCCTGTAAGCATTGGACAGCTCTTGTCTTTTCACCTGAATATTAGAGCTTATTGATAAAGAACATATACTTTCCTGTTGTGTTGATTTGCTTTCTCCTATACTATTTTATGGTAATGAGACAATTTACAATAGTATGAACCTGAAAGTGATGGGGCAAAACAACTGAAGTTTTTGTTTTTTTATGAGCTTATGATTATTCTTGCCTGATACACAGTTCCTAAGGTGGTCTTTCTTCAGCAGACGTATCTGTAGCTATTATTTTTCCTATGTAGTTTGATCCTGTGGCCTATAGGATTGAACCGATGGTGGTTCCAGGAGTGGAATTTGAGCCAATGCTAATCCCACATCATAAGGGCAGGAAGCGAATGCACTTAGGTAAGTCTGAGTACAGAACTTTTAATTCTAGATGTCTGGTCGGTGCAGACTGACTGGACCTCATTCACTTCATTTAACTGTGTTGGACCCTAAACTCTTTGTAAACCATATAATGTTCTTTATTCAAATATGTTTCAGAATTGAGAGAGGGCTTGACCAGGATGAGTATGGACCTTAAGAACAACTTGCTAGGTTCACTGCGGATGGCCTGGAAGTCTTTCACCAGAGCTCCATACCCTGCCTTGCAGGCTTCAGAAACTACAGAAGAAACTGAAGCAGAATCTGAATCAAGTTCAGAGAAGCTGAGTGGTCAGTGATACTGTACACTTCAATTTCCTTCATTAGGTCTGATAAGAGTCCATAGTGTGTATTTCTTACTCATGGTATAGAACCAATACTATGAGCCCTAGTGAGCCTTCCCCTCTGCTAGTCTTTTCTATGGTCTCATAGCCACAAATTATGGAGAAACATTATTTGTGAGGAAAAATGTCAAGAGAAGCTGAATATCTGGTACAGAGGCTTTAAAAGACATTCCTTACTTGGGAACTCTGGAAGTGAGGTTAGGAGCCTCCTCTGTGAAGCACCTTGCTTTTATAGGGCAATGTCATGTATTATTGGTCCGTTTTATTTTCCTGGCTGGGCACTAGCTAGTATGCTCTCCTCTTAATTTCACAGTTAATGTTGCATTCTTTTTGCTTTAATTTTCAAATACGAAAGATTTCTATCCCTACTTCTATTTAGTTTATAAACCAGAGGCAAATGAATTAGCTGTCAGAGGTACGGGAAAGAAATGGGATTGAACAAATCAGTATGACTTGAGGAGAAGCTTTGAGGGGCTTGAGAGGAGGAAGGTGCAGAAAGCTTTCTGAGCAGAGAATACTTCATCCTACTGTAAACTTGGTAGTCTGAAGGGAAGTAAGGACAATCTTGGATGGCCGGAAGCTTTTAGATTGTTATTATGGGTCTTCTATGTCCAGATGTTAACACAGAAGAGACCCCTGTGACAGTTAAAGAAGAAGTCCCACCCATCAATGTGGGAATGCTGAATGGAGGCCAGCGCATTGACTATGTGCTACAAGAGAAGCCCATTGAAAGTTTTAATGAATATTTATTTGCTTTACAAAGCCATCTATGCTATTGGTAAGTGAGGTTTGTTTTTGTTTCTGAGTGTTGTTTCTTTTCTTTCTTTCTTTTTTTTGGGAGGGGTCTAATTGTTTCAAAGCTATTTGATAGATGTAGGAAAGGGAGGGTAGGCTAGTGTACATGTGGGATTAGAGTGATTTCTCATTTAGACAGTTATAAAACACAATTATATCATTTAAATAAATCTGATTTAAACACATTGTTTTTTTACTTTGCAGTTGGGTAGAGCATGGGCTGATGATGCCAGCAACCATGAGTTCAGCTAGTTTAGTTTTAAAAGTGGTGTCCTTTGGTCATTGGTGGGGGACAGGAAGGGTCCATATTATTGGACTGGAACAAATACATTACTGTTGCTAAAAGTATTGTAAACTCATTTGAAAGTATTTACAGTAGCTAGATCAGAATTTATTATTTTCATTTTAAGTTTATACTTTTAATATTTAAATATTTTTTCCAGATTTATTGAGATATAGTTTACACATTGTATAAGATGTTCAACATGATTTGATACATGTATATATTGTGAAATGATTAACACCTCCATCACTTCACATAATTACTCTGTGTACACACACACTGTGTGTGATGAGAACATTTAAGAATTACTCTCTTAGCAACTTCCAAGTATATGATATGGTATTATTAACTCTAGTACCATGTTGTACATTAAAAACCCACAACTTATTCAACAGAATTAATCATTATTAAATATGATTATCTGATGGGTTGTAGAATGGATTACTAATGCTTATTGAAATTCATACATTATAACAGAAAAGAACTTAATCACCAAATAAATTGAAACTAAAGAAAAAGATAGCTAGGAAAATAAGATGGATGGGTAATAAGGCTTCAAAAATGCATGCTTTTAGGTTTTTTTTTTTTTTTTTTTTTAATTTTTTTTTTTTTAAGATTTTATTTATTTATTTGACAGACAGAGATCACAAATAGGCAGAGAGGCAGGCAGAGAGAGAGGAAGGGAAGCAGGCTCCCTGGTGAGCAGAAAGCCCGACGCGGGGCTCGATCCCAGGACCCCGGGATCATGACCTGAGCCGAAGGCAGAGGCTTTAACCCACTGAGCCACCCAGGTGCCCCTTAGGTTTTCTTTTAAGATTTTATTTATTTATTTGTTCGAGAACAAGCAGGGGGAGTGGGGGGCAGAGGGAGAAGACGACTCCTTGCTGAGCAAGGAGCCCGATGTGGGACTTGATCCCAGGACCCTGGGATCATGATCTGAGCCGGAGGCAGATGCTTAACTGACTGAGCCACTTAAATTACGATTCTTTATTATTTTTTAAAAGTTTTTATTATATTTTACTTTTTAAAGGTTTTTTTAATTCATTTGTTTGAGAAAGAGACCTTGAGAGCGTGAGCAGGGGAGAGGGGAGGAGAGACAGAGAGAGGGAGGGAGAGAGAGAAGCAGACTCCTTGCTGAGCAGGAAGCCCTACATGGGGCTGGATCCCAGGACAATTCCAGGACTGGGGCTCAATCCTAGGACCCTGAGATCATGACCTGAGCCAAAGGCAGATGCCTAACCAACTGAACCACCCAGGTGCCCTGTTTTTTTAAGTTTTTATTTAAATTCCAGTTAGTTAATATATAGTGTAATATTAGTTTCATATGTACAATATAGTGCTTCAGTACTTCCACACACCTGGTGCTCATCACAAGTGCACTCCTTAATCCCCATCACCTATTTAACTCTTCCCCTCATGTACCACCCCTCTGGTAACCATCAGTTTGTTCTCTATAGTTAAGAATCTGTTTCTTGGTTTATGTCTTTTTTTTTTCCTTTGCTCATTTGTTTGATTTCTTAAATTCCACATATGAGTGAAATCATACAGTATTTGTCTTTCTCTGACTTACTTCACTTGGCATAATACTTTCTAGCTCCACCCTTTTCATTGCAAATGGCAAGACTTCATTCTTATTTGTGGCTGACTGGTATCACACTGTGTGTATATACCACCTATCACTATCCATTCATCTATTGATGGACACATAATTTGGCTGCTGTTGATAATGCTGCTATAAACATTGGGGTCCACGGTGGCATAGTTAGTTGAGTGCCCAGTTCTTGGTTTTGGCTCGGGTTGTGATCCTCGGGGTGGTGGGATTAAGCCCCATGTTGGGTTCTGTGCACAGTGCAAAGTATTCTTGAGACTCACCCTCCCTCTCCCTCAGCCCCTCCTCCCTATACTTCCTTGCTCTCCCAAGTAAATATATCTTTTTTTTTTTTAAGATTTTATTGATTTATTTGACAGAGAGAACACAAGTAGGCAGAGAGGCAGGCAAAGAGAGAGAGAGAGAGAGAAGGAAACAGGTTCCCTGCTGAGCAGAGAGCCCAATTCGGGCTCGATCCCAGGACCCTGCGATCATGACCTGGAGCTGAAGGCAAAGGCTTCAACCCACTGAGCCACCCAGGCGACCTTCAAATAAATCAATCTTTAAAAAAATTGGGGGGCACCTTCGTGGCTTTGTTGGTTAAGCCTCTCCCTCTGGCTCAGGTCATGATCTCTGGGTCCTGGGATTGAGCCCAGCATTGGGCTCCTTGCTCAGCAGGGAGTCTGCTTTCCCCTTTCCTTCTGCCTGCCGCTCCCCCTGGTTTTGGTCTCTGTCAAATAAGTAAATAAAATCTTAAAAAAAAAAATCGGGATACATGTATCTCTTTGAACTAGTGGGTTTCTGAGATTTTGGTTGTGATTGCAAATATTTTGTCTACAGATGAATTTGGGGAGAATTGACATCTGAATAATGCTGAGTCTTCTGATCCACAAACACAGTATCTCTATTTTGGTCTTTAATTTCCCTTAGCAATGTTTTGTAGTTTTCAGTGTATGTATTTTGTGTACTATAGGTTTTTTTTAAATTCTGCTTATTTATTCATGAGAAATCACATGAGCATGTGAGCAGGGGGAAGGAGAAGAAGGAGAGGGAGAAGCAGGCTCCCCACCAAGCAGGGAGCCCGATATGGGGCTCAATCCGAGGACCCTGGATCATGCATGACCTAAGCTGAAGGCAGATGGCCAACCTACTAAGCCATCTAGGCACCCCATGCTATAGTGTTTAAGTTGCATGCCTTGTATGCGCCTTTCTCTCTTCAGATCAATCTTTTGCCTTTTACTTGCCAAAAAAAAAAATTGCATTCCTCTAGTTATGAATAAGATTGAGCATCTTGACTTATATTTCAGGACCATTTTTGTTTCCTTTTCTGGGAGTTTTCTATATTCTTTATTCTCTTTTATATTGAAATGTTTTTTTATTGTTGATCAGTCTGTGATGAGTTGCAAATGCCTTTTCCCCAGGTTGTCTTTGACATTGAAAAGATTGATTTTTATGTGGTCATATTTGTTGATTTTTTTCTTTTCTGGCTTCTAGAATGTGTCATACTTAGATCTTCCTTATCCTCTGAAAAATGCCTTACCACAGTTTATTCTGATATTTTATGGTTTCATTTTTACATGTGAATGTTTGATTCACTTTGGATTTATTCCAGTGACAGGTTTAGATTGGCTCAGGTCATTTTCCAGATGCCTCTCCATTTGTCACAACACCGTTAGTGGATTTGAGAGTCTCACTTTATTAAATTCCTATATAGATTTAGGACTATTTCTGAACTTCTTTTCTCTTGATCCATTTATTTATGCACCAGGATCACACCATTTGAATATCTAGTTTAGCTAATGCCCCTAGACTGGCATAGGAGTTTCTTAACCTGAAGTCTGTGTATGGAGTTTCTGGGGGATAGAAAAAGCATATGAATCCAATGAAACTTTATTTATATTTTGGAAAAACATATCCAAAAAAAAAAAAAATATATATATATATATATATATATATATGCATATATATATATAATCTTTTCTGGGGAGAAATCCATTGGTTTCATTAGATTCTCAAGTAGATACATGATTCAAAAAGTGTTAAACCACAGATCTAGAGAAATGTTTGCTGTATGTCCTTAAGGCAGTCCTTCATGATGTTAATCAAAGTTCTTTATGAACTAGATATAAGTAATTGCTTGGGCACACACAGAATGAGATCTGGAAGATGCATGAGGAATTGGTAACTTGATTGTCAGAAGATGGGAACCAGTGGTTAACAGAGGTGGAAGTGAAACTTCATTATAACACTCTTTTAGATCTTGAATTATGAACTATATGATTGTACTTTTTTTTTTAAGATTTTATTTATTTATTTGACAGAGATCACAAGTAGGCAGAGAGGCAGACAGAGAGTGGGGGTGAAGCAGGCTCCCTACTAAGCAGAGAACCCAATGCGGGGCTCGATCCCAGGACCCTGAGATTATGACCTGAGTTGAAGGCAGAGGCTTAACCCACTGAGCCACCCAGATGCCCCTATAGTATATTTTTTAAAAAGGTAAATAACATTTAAAAAATTAAGGTGACCAACTAGATGGCTCTTCCATATTATTCCAAGAAGAAGCTCTGTGGAAAAGGAACAGTTCTTGGTTGGTTATTTACTACTAGCTTTTTTGTATTACCAGACATAATGCTAGACTTTTTTAAAAAAATCGTGGTTGACATACAATTTTATATTAGTTTCAGGTGAATTACTGCATAGTGAATTGGATAGTTCAGTGCTCACCATAAGTGTAGCCGCCATACATTATCACAATATTATCAACTATATTCTCTGTGGTATACTCTTCATCTCCATGACTTATTCATTTTATAACTTGAAATTCGTACCTCTTCATCCCCTTCATCTATTTCACCCATCCCCCCACCCCCCTCCCTTTTGGCAACCACATTGTTCTTTGTATGTATGAGAGTCTGGTTTTTGTTCATTTCTTTTGTTTTTTAGGTTCCACATATATGTGAAATCATAGGCTTTTGTCTCTTACTTCACTTAACATTCTCTAGGTCAATCCATATTATGGCAAATGGCAAGATTTCATTCTTCTTTATGGCTAAGTAATACTCCACTGTAAAATGAACTTTTGAGAAAAATGAACTGGTAAGGTGGTTGTGTAGATTACATGAGATAATATATGTAAAGCATCTAGTATAAAGGTTAGTTTCTTCTTACAACTTAAGTTTTTCTCTTTACAGGGAGTCTGAAGATACGGTATTGCTGGTCCTCAAAGAAATCTACCAGACCCAGGGCATCTTCCTTGATCAGCCTTTACAGTAAAAATGAACCATATATGGCTGCTTGATGTAAGTTTTTAAATGTCATGTATGCAGCATAGTCCCTACATATTGACACGTTATGAGGAACAGTGTAGCCTTGAGCTCTTTATAAACGTACTTTTCTGTTGCCTGTCACCAAGATCTAGGTTATTGTTCATTTTTAGAGGGACTCTGGTTAAAACTGCTGAGGAATAAGTGCAGTGGCCCATTTAGACCAAGAGTGTGTGTGTGTTTGCTGGTGACTTAGCCCAGTAACACCTGTCAGTTTAGGATCTAAACTCAGAATCTAAATAGTTCTGATCATTTAAGTTACCGTGGCAACAGTTACAATTTTAATGACAAAGAGCCCATCCTGAGATTTAAGTTCCTCTGCTTCTTAGATGTGTAACTAGAAAGTTCACGCATTAGACTCCCGAATTCTGCCTGGTCGCCTTCCAGTTGTGACTGCATCATGACCTCTGTTCCGCTCTTCCCTAGACACTGAAGGATCCTCCCCCAGAAAACGCGCCTGCTTGTCGCTGCAGTTTGCCTCTCCTCAGCCGCGTCATTTCCTGCACGTTGCCTGTCACTTACTTACCACTGGGTCTTTGGAAGATAATCTTGTTATCTCGGAAGTGAGAGGAAAAGCAAAGGGAAGACCCTATTACTTTTGACCACTGGCTTCATAGAAGCACTTGCCACTCTTCATAGTGGGGTTTGTTTGCATCTTTAATTCTGGATGACAGGTGCCGTCCTCTATTGCTTATTATTTGACATAGTATAAAGTCTGTTTTGAGTTTATTTTGGCTTGGTAGAAATTTTTCTAGGAAATTATTGCTTATCTTTAGGAAATGCTTCAGTTTGTAAGCAGGCTCCGGAGAGTCAGAAGGCATTTTTGGGGTGCGCTCATCTCATCGCTGTTCTCTGCATTTGGAGGCTAAGTGGGTGTGGAGCTGGGCAGCTTCCTTCGAGCAGCTTTTGTTTCCTACAAGTACTGTGTGAGGGACTGAAGTGTAGCTCACACACAGCATTGTTTACTCTCCGCAGCGGACCGCTGCCTGCAAGGAATCACTGATGCTATTCATTGTTTTCCCAGCTGTTCGAGCTGCTCTCAGAGTCTTCAGTGGATAATTTAGTTCACATTAGGTGCATCTTTATAAAGCAAAGATGTTATATATTCTAGACCTGGCCTTTTATATCATGCTTCGAGTGGGGAGACTCTAGATGAAATCTTAGTTATTTGATAGTAACTTCTGTTCTTAAGTTGAGGTCAGAGTTATAAGGGCTGACAAAACCTGAAATCCCATGGCCTTGACAGCGGACTAAAATCAGTAGTACATTTAAGGTGAAGTAGAATTTGTGCAAGTCAACCACGATATTCACTTGAGTGAAGGCAGTATTGTGTGTCCTCTTTGAAAACATTTTGTAAACACCATTGCCTCCTTAGGTACCCGTAATCCAGAGAGCTTATCTAACAGCCTCATGGCACAGGTCGTGTTGGCTGGGCAGGTAGCTTCAGCTGGGAGAAATATTTCTTACTCTGAAAGAAAAATCTGTGCAGCCAGTGCAGAGCCCGTGTCAGAACATGCAAAGTGAGATGTCCGTACCTTGCAGACGGCGGGTGCATGTAGACTGGTACTTTCCAGGGCATCTGCTCACTACTGTGCTGTGTATTCTTTCTCATTGGTCAGAGTTTGTCATTGACTTTGCAGTTCTCTTTGTGGCAGTCCTTTACCCTCTTCTCCAACTCCTATAGGCCTCTCTGTTTATAAAGTGGAATAGGCAGGCAAGCTGTGTCTTGTTTTTTATAAAAAAAGGGTTTTTTGGTAAATGTATCATGGTTATCCAGTGCATTGGCATTTAACATTTACTTAAGCCATCCGTGTGACAGCAGTGATCTCTATCCCTTTCCAGAGAAAAGGAAAGGGAAGGTTAATCATTGTCACCTTAGAGATGGCAGAGGTAGGGCTGGGGTACAGAATCCATTCCTGGCCTCTACTTGTCCATCTGCTTATAGACTAATGCTGAGCCACTAAGAAGTGTCAGATATATGGAATACTTTTATTTTCTTTACTATATCAGCTGAGTTTGAAGTAAGGGTGCATTCAATTATATTTTAAAGGGGAAGCTTTTGTCAAGTTGTTGTCTTCAAATTTAAATTTATTCTTCATATTAGCAGAATAGCTTAAGAGTAAACCAAAGGACAAGCAAGAAAGAATGAGTCCCTATAACCAAAGATGAACAGCGTAACCCTGGATAGCTAGATAAACCACTGTTGGTACTAAGAAAAGTTTTCTGATGGTGAGGGGCAGGCGACTGTAAAAGAGCTTCCTATCTCGTCTCTCCACCTACGGTATCATCATGGTTGTGTAGTACACAGGTTAATAAGCTTGATTTAAATTCTTTATTTAGCTGTGTTATTTGCACTACTTCAGTTGTATCATGTGCAATCTCTTGACCAAGCCTACTTTTAAACTCTGTAGAGTATCATTTTATACATAGTCCCTGCTACAGAATTTGTATTGCTTATCTCAGCAAGAGATTGTGTGCATGGGAAGATTAATAGCACTGATTAGCTTTCTAATATTTTGCACTTTTTGAAATGTTTGTTTTTTACATGATTCTATTTAAAAGTTTATGAAATACTGAAATAAAACCATATTGACCAGTTGCCTACTTTTACCTGGTTCGATCCATTATACAGAAAATGAATACAATAACCATTTTCTTCCCCTTTATGTTATTAAAGCTAATTAAAAAAGGAAGTTTGGGGTAAAGAACTAATATTTAAGTTCTTTTCCCTTGACTGGTGTTTTCATGATCATAGGCAGATGTAGTTCAGAATTAAAAGCACAGCAATTACGAAGTCAGTGCTGAGACTATTCAATATTTACAGATATCAGCCTCTACTATGGCTTAGTTGTATCACTTACGTCAGGTGGGGAATCCAGTATTTTACTTCAGAAATTTTCCAGCGCTTGAGTGATACTTTACGTACCAAAAACACCCACGTTCACCATTTTCTTTGTCACATTTATTGAAGGAAAAAGAAACATTGAAAATATAGAAAGAAACACATCAGACCAGGTCATATTTAAAGTATAATCACAAAGAGAAGGGCAGTTGTTGGTCCAATAGCATCAGTTCTGGTGATGTCCTGTAATTGTTCCTTATATCCCATTATGACGAAGGGACAGAAAAAAGTTCATTTGTTCTCCAGACAAGAACATTCTTTTCTGCCTTAGCCAGTTGCAGAATTGATGCATTTGGGCAGATCTTCAGTCATACATGGATGGAAAGCAGCTCATGAACACAGTTCAGGAGTGTGGTTTCAATACTAGCAACTAATGATTTCCACCTCACTTGTCTTTACCATTTTAAAAAATTTTTCAGTGGTTCAGTAAATAATTTATGCCCACAGGATTCAAAATGGACAGCAGTGTGTGGCTAGACTTAGATAAGACACATGTATAAGGCGGTAAAGAAGCCAGAACTGGACATTTTCCTATTTAAAGCTTGATGGAATTGTCACTAGAGAAAGTAAACAGAACTAAAATAATTTAGTTGGTCGTGCCCTGGGTTTTAAGAGCTTGAACTATGGAAAATGGAAATTTAACTGTGGGTTCTAGGGTATGTAAAGGCTTCTTTGTGAAAGATCCTTCAAGAATGGCATTTAAGTTAAATGTGAAACACTGTAGATCCTGGGATACCAATCTGGTGGGCTACTGGAAGCTCTTTTTATCAGAATGTGTGGCACAGAGTCGTGAAAATGAACCTTGAACCTTGACTCATGACAAATCCATATGAGCAAAACTGCATAAACATATGGAGACAGAATGAAGTGCTTGTGTCCTCACTTGTATCTCTTACGAGTTAACAGGTCAGACATTCTTGTCTTGGGCAGTTTAGAGGGGCTGACGCACCTAGTCTCCACTGAGGTAGTTCTAATTTCTAAATACTAAAATGATAAGGGTCACCAGGCTTCTGTGCTGTGGGCAGTCCAAGGTTGTCCTGAAACGGTTTATGACATTCTGCGTCCGTCAGAGGAGGATAATACTGCCTGTAGCAGACATAGGCAAATGTCAGGCCAATCATGGATCCAACTAGTACATCTAAAAGAGAGGAGATAAGGTACTTTCTTAATCATACTGGACTCTTAAATCATGTTAAAACACCACGCAGTGCTGGCGCACCGATATTGAGGGTTTGATTCCAAATCACTGCAATAAAGCGAGTATCTCAGTAAAGCAAGGAGGATGAATTTTTGGTTTCCCAGTGCCTATAAAAGTTATGTTAACACTATCCTGTAGTCTACTAAAGCGTACAATTGCACTAGATCTAAACAAAAGTATATACCTTAATTAAAAAATATTTAATTGCTAAAAAATGCTAACCATCATCTGAGCTTTCAGCAAGTCATAATCACTGATCATAGATCACCATAACAAATATAATAAAAATATTTAAAACACTACAAGAGTTAGCAAAATATGATGGAGACATGAGGTGAGCAAATGCTGTTGGAAAAATGGCACTGACAGACCTGCTCAGTGTAGGGTGCTAGAACCTTCCATTAGTAAAACACAATTCTCTGTGAAGTGCGGTACAGTGGGGGACACCAATATAGAGAAGTTGGCCCTCCAGGTTAACTCTACTTGTTTGGGTGCAAAAAAACCTCAATTTCAGGTTTATGGTTTCTTTAGGCTTTCTCAATTTTATCATATAGTTAACAGGATTATCTTCAGGTTCTTTCCTAAACACCAAGTCAAAACACATACTTGCGGGCGCCAGGGTGGCTCAGGTCATGATCCTAGGATCCACCCCCCACCCCCCCAAATTGGGCTCCTTGCTCAGCAGGGAGCCTGCTTCTCCCTCTGCCCTTTGTGCCTTCCCCCACTGTCTCTTAAATAAAATTTTAAAAATCCACATCTTTAATAAGTCTAAACCTTTTCCCAAGGATAGACTAAATTTTTTTAATTCAACTAGCCAACATATAGTACATCATTAGTTTCTGGGGTAGACTTCAGTGACTCATCAGTTGCATATAATGCCCGGTGCTCATCACATCACATGCCCTCCTTAATGCCCATCACCCGGTTACCCCATCCCCCCCACCTCCCACTAGATTGAATTTTTTAAACATTCAAAATAACAAAAGTTTCACTTACTGCTATTAACCCCTTTTTCACCACTTAAAGAGTTCTAGAGGAAGTAATAAACTGTACAGGAGTTGCCCTTCTTTAAAGAAAATCAGCTTATTCTTTAAAACAGGGCTCCTAAGGACTTCTGGGCAATATTATCAGCTTTTGTTTTTAATTACGGGTTTTATGTGAAGATACTCCGTAATCTGGATGTTTTACTATATCATTCAACAATCTTTGGTTTAACTACAATTTTATATTTTCTTGAATTTTAGTTTCTGAACAAAAATCTCATGATGAACTTTTTTTTTAACAAACTTTTTATTTTAAGACAGTAAATAAATTGACCTTTGAGGTTTGTTGTAAAAAATTTCTTAGAGGAACAAAATTCTTAGTTTATTCTGAACCTATGATGCTTCAAAATAACGGAAAAATTGGGACATTTCTCCTTGGTAATCTCTTTAAAAGGAAACTTGGTTCAGAAACCCAGACTATCCCATACTCAACTGTTGATTCATTTAACAGAGTCAGCGTCTCCGTGCCGAATGCTAGGGCTACGGCGGCCAGTGAAACATGCAGACGTACACGGCAGGGACACCCTGCTTACCTTGCCAGTGATGCTTATAGTCACATGTGCGGGACAGCGCAATCACAGATGCAAGGAGAAGAGGTGACAGAAAGGCACAGAACCGCCAGGACTTCCCACGGCCTTGTGGTGTGAAGCAATGTAACTTCCCTGCCAGGTAGAAGGAGGCGAAGGCCAGACCAGCAAATGCAACTAGAAGAGGGAAGACCAGTAAGCAGATGTCTTTCAAAGGAAGATTCCTTGCTCATCTGCAGACAGGTGGCTGCGGGCACACACGTGCTTTATCCTTTTTGGGTACACTTGTGGTACAGATCATCGATGAGGAAACAGAGGGAAAAATGAAGAACTTTATTGTGTGTCCCAAGTTAATAATATTTACCCTTGGGAATAGTGTCTGGAATACTAGCAGCAGGACTTTGGGGAGGGTTGCTTCTTGATGCCTTAGTTTCCTGATGTATAAATAGGAATCATAAAACTAATAGTATCCATCTCTTTGGGCTATTATGGTACCAAAAGAGATAAGAATAAAAAATGCTTTCCAAAGCACCTTCAATAAAGGTTAGTTAATATTTTCCTAGCTAGTACCAGATTGTGGGATCTAGATAAATAATACAAGACTCATAAAATGTTCAAATCTAATGAAGGTAAACTACTTCCTCTATCCTTGAACATCTGTCCTAATATTTGAGGCTCAGGCTTATGGAATCTTGGGGTTATTAAAGGAGGGGATTCTCTGGTTTTTAGCAAGAGTAGTGAGGTGGCCCCATCCTCATAAGCTTCCTAAACTAAAAGTGACCCCAAGAAAGCACAGATGCTGAGTCCACGCGGTATTCATACAGGAAGAATGTCCACTAGGGAAGCTCTTGCGGCCCTCATTCACCACGTCCTTCTCCCCTGTGCACGTCAAGTCGGAATGGGCTTGCCCGTCAGGGAAGCAGCGGTAGAAGAAGTCTGGGCGTGGCCTGAAAAAATAAACACGGTCTCAACACAGACCCCTTAACTTGGTTATATCAGATACTGTAATCCTGTTCACAGTTGGTCAAATAGTGTCCCAGGTAAAATGATGAAACTGGATTAGGATAGTCACCATTAAAAGAAAAGCTTTATTTCCAGGGTCTACATTTAAGGCAGGGGGGGGGGCAGTCCAGCACATGATTATTTTTTAGGGCAAAGAGCAAGTCACACTGCAGCTTCGGGGTATTCTAGTGGACACTGACCCCGCTGTGCTGGTCAGTGGGAAACACTGTTCAGGGCAGGAAAGAGCCCAAGTGTCACCCACAGGACAGCCATAGGAGAGGGAGGCCATGTTAGGTGAAAAGAACAAGGTCAGACTGAGGCTGGGGAGAGGAGGAGGAAGAAGATGGGTGGTGCCATGCCATTAACTATCTCCTGCAGATGGGAGGCCTGAGGCAGGCACTGGGGCGCAGACTCTGGTCACTCACCTGCCCACGATCAGTTTTATTGTGTTAGTAAAGACACCGTTCAGAGCCAGGGCAAGGCTGGCAGCTGGAAAATAAAGAAACTTACTGTTAGTGGGTTTTGCCTAGGAGAACTTGCATGGTCATGGTCTCTTCAAGAGAGCAGCTGTGGTCTTTTTTTTTTCTTTACAGATTTTATTTATTGGGCACCTGGGTGGCTCAGTCATTAAGCGGCTGCCTTTGGCTCAGGTCATGATCCCACTGTCCTGGGATCGAGTCCCCTATCGGGCTCCCTGCTCAGCAGGGGGCCCGCATCCCCCCCCCCACCCCACTCCCACTGCTCGTGTTCCTGCTCTTGTTATCTGTCAAATAAATATTTTTTAAAAATAAAAAGATTTTATTTATTTGACAGAGAGAGACACAGTGAGAAGAACAGAGGCAGGGGAGTAGGAGAGGGAGAAGCAGGCTCCCCACGGAGCTGGGAGCCCGATGCAGGGATGGATCCCAGGACACTGGGATCATGATCTGAGCCAAAGGCAGCCCTTTAGCGACTGAGCCACACCGGCACCCCAGCCATGGTCTTTTTGAGATAGGAACGGTCAGGCTCCAGCCAGAGCGGCGCAGAAAAAATCATTTAGGCCTGAACGTGGTGGAGTACAGAGAGCGCTTCTGGACTAGGCCGAATACGTTTCTGGGGTACCAGTCACTCAGCACATTGTTCACCTCGGAGGTCAACTATGTTCTCAGAGTGCCAGCTTTCTCACGGGTGACAACACGGGTACAGGGGAGACAGGATGACTTTAGGAACGTGGAACTCCGTGGCCTCCACAGAGGTCACACCTTCAGTGGCTGAGATGCCAGCACTGAGGAGACAGAGACCAGCCCAGCCAGGGAGGGCTCGTTCTTACCCAGGCAGGCTTGTTTGCTGTCTGTCGCACCAGCCTTCTTGAGACATCGGGCCAAGAGGATCAGGGACAGTGGGGAGAGAAATGCAATGACCTGAAACAGAAGATGGTAGAGGTTAAAAAAAAAAACCCCAAACCAAACCCCCAGTAAAACCACACAGCTAGTGGTTCAAGCAGTGCCGACAGGGAGGAGGGATGGAGGGGACAGCAGAAGTCACAGATCAGACCCAGGGGGTCCCTGTCAGTGTATGCAGTGGCAGCGTCTGCGGGTTGATGGGGCAGGCACCTGCTCCACCGGGAACGCCACGGCCATCAGCCATTACTCTACGTGACCGGTTACCTCAGTCCATCCTAAGGAGCAGAGCTCACAGAACGTGTCTTTTGGGCCAAAACTGGCATCCTGCGCTCTCAGTTTGGATCGTTATCATAAGGAAACAAGAAGTTGAGCCCCTCATCAAAGGAAGCAAGACGCTCCCCACGAAAGACCTCTCCAGATCACCCTGGAGCCAGACGGACCGCCGCCTGCTCCCTAGCATCGAGCTCGCCCTAAATATTAAAGGTCGGAAGAAGGCTAGTTCTCCACGCACAAACATAGGCTTGGTGGGGAAGTACTCGGCTTCCACATACGGATTCCGGTAAAGCCACATCTCCTCCGGCTGGATCAGCCTCTGGAAGGGAGGGAGGAGCTCCGTTACCCTAGAGGGGAAACAAAAATGTGCAGAGCACGTTGGTTTGCTTCCGGCCTCCCGCCGCTCGTCGGGACTTCCCACCGCTGCCCCCACCCCGCCCCCTGCACCGGGAGCCCCGGGCAGAGGCAGGGGCTGCCCGCCGCCTGCCGCCTTGGACGCTTACAGGAAGGCGGTGAACAGGGCGAGCCGCACGCCCAGCTCGGCACCGAGGGCCGCCACCTTCCCCATCCTGCCGTCAGCCGACAGACGCCGCGCTGACGTGGCAGCTCTTGCGGCGGCGGCGGGAGGCGAGGCCGCCCCGGGGAGGGCCGTCCCGGCGGTGGGGGGCCGGGCCTCGGCGGCTCGGGGCCGCGGGCTGGCGGACGCTGGGCGAACTGCACCCGAGGAAAGCGTCGCAGCCACTTCCCTGCCCAGGCGGGTCGGCCATCCCTCGGCGCCGCTCTGAGAGCCCCAGCTGGCGGCAGGAAGGAGGCGCCCGCAGTGCCATTCCGGCCATTCCAGGAGACACCGACCACGAGCGGGCGCCCGGCGTCTGGCCGAGCGGCAGGCCTCCGCGGAGTCTGCTAAGTCTCCGGGATGAAAGTGACGCATATCTCCCTTCCCGCCGTTCGCTCCATAGTCTCCCACCACACTAAGCAAGAAGCAACATTCTCCAAGGACCTTCCCTCTGTGAAAACACGACCAAGTTCCCGGCTCCAAGCTTATTTGCGACCGCATTTTGAAGGGCCTCGGGTCATCGGCAGGCACCGGGTGCCTGCCCCTCCCCATTCTGACCTCTCGCCCAGCAGTTGTGACAAGAAACTATAGGCAATGAACAAGTCCACAGTTCGATTTGGAACATACAGGACAATTTATTGAAGTCAATCTCAAGCAAAATCTGAAGTCAGTGGAATGTCATTAAGAACCTTTCCAAATTAATCCTCACGGAAGCAAAAAACACATCCGAATTCCAAAGTATTTGTAAAATAAAAAAAGGCAACATCTCAGTAAATATAATGTACAAAAATTTATGTTCCTACCGGCACACACAGTAGTAAGAAGCTTAAAATTCCAGGCAATCCTAAATATACAGTAACTAGTCAACAATAAGCTATCTATATACAGGTTAACCAAGCTTTACACGTTTCACACTATGCAGTAAAACATAGGCCATTCAACAAAACCCCCAAAATATCATATATCTTGAAGTCTATGTGGCAACATCAAGTCATTATACAGTAATGCCCTAGTGGAATGCCCCCCAGGGAAAACGAACACTAATCCCTTAGTGTCAAGAGCTTCTAGCCAAGTCACAGAAACTCAAAAGAGATTGACTTTAGTGAATATTGATGCTTTGTTATTAAAGACTCAAGTCTCAAGTGATTTAGGCAAAATAACATTTCACAGGATCTACAAATTTATTACAGATAAACAAAGTACAGAAATAACCAATCTACAAAGGTCATTATAGATAAAGATCACAAGAAAAAGAAAACAATCTGTAGGTATCTGTGTTTGCTGTGCAATATCACAAGTGGTTACAAATGAATTTCTCCTATCAATTCCAATTACGCACACACCCTTGTATAGAAAAAGGATCTTATTAGCTAGTTGTAATCATCATTTAATATCAATCATCATTTAGTATCTTGGTCATCGGAGGCAATGTGATTTTCTTTTTTAACAGAGGGTATGTGACAGCACAAATGAGATAAAGAGCAGTATTAATGACAACAGAGTAAAAGGTAAATTGTATCCAGTCCACTCCTAACCCGACAAGAATACCTCATACATACCTCGTCTCGGTGATCTGAGGGACACTGCGCGCCCCGCGTGCACACATCGAAGGTCTGTGGCAGGTGGGGGGGGGACCGGCGCCTGAGGGGGCTTGCCTGCCAACTCGCAGATCCGGAGGGTCACACAAGAAAAGTAAGGACTGAATAAATGACTTTGGCAACTGTTCATCTTTTTCGCTTTTTCTTACACGTAACTGACTTTCACAGGCTACAGAAGGGCAGGCTGCTCTCCTCCTCCCCACCACACACACATCTGTGCCACAAGCACCTGAACTTGTCACTTAAGCAATGGACTGACGGAGAAAAGAACGGAAATCGTTTCTGAAACACACACAGACTACACCCTGCGTTTCAGGAGTGTAACGTAAGTGCAAATTTTTGTTTTTTCCCCTACACAGGCATATATATTAAAAGGAAAGAAGAGGTGCATGGGGATGGGGTTGACAAAAATACAAGAGAAAGAACACACATGGGAAATACTCATAAAAATGCTGGTATTTCATGCAAGAGTCTCTTCCTCGAATGTGTACATGAAATCTGAGCTATCTGCTGTGGACACTCCATCCCATTCGCAGAACTTTGCCTTTAATCCAAGTTGAAGAGGACAAGAGACTAGGCAATTTGTTTTCAAAACAGTATACAAAACAATGCTTTCTACTTCATAAATTTAAAAATAACTGTAAAATAAAGGGAATCTGAAGAGTTTCAAGTACTTAAAAAACCTGAATTCAATGAGGCAGAGGTCTCAATGTTAAAGTGACTACTTCGTACCTGTGGTAAACATTGTCATTCCCCCTCCCTCACCCTGTTCTAACCCCCTTTTCTTCCTGTACCCTGCCCCGGGGGAAAAGTTGGTAGATTTCAGTACGTACACATTTCCAACTTTTCAATATTCATTAATACATGGCAAAGCCATCTAATCAGATCTCTCCCTAGCTTAGCTGAAAATGGAGGCGAGTTCTCCTCTCAGTTTACAGACAACCAGGGACCAACTGCAAGTGGCCTAGGCCAACGGAAATCCTTCCAAATGATCACTTTGTGTGTGCAGCAACCTGGCCAACTCCAGAAGTCGAATCTGCTCCGCCCGGCAATAAAGCCACTTGCCAGTGGCATCGCACCTCCTCCCAGGTGAGCTTCCCAAGCCCGAAGGGCTCTACCACAACCTGTGTCCTTATCCTCTTGGGACATGGCATGTGGCAGCTCCCTGATTTCAAGGTGAATGCTAAAGGAAGCTTTGTACTTAACAATGAAATGAAGGACCAGCCATGAAGCTGGGGGGTCCAGCGATGACGTTCTGTAGGGCTATCCTCTGCCGTCCAGGCTGGCTCTGACCCTGATTAGAACACGGACTGCGCAGCGAGGCCAAAAGGAAACTACTTCATGAGCCAGGGGAGAAACTTGTCCAACAGCCTGCCTGCTCTGAGAGTCCTTTACATGGTTATCTCAGAATTTCAAAACATTATTTACAAGCATGTTTCCAAGTATTATGTGGAAATAGCAGAAGGGAGCTCAGAGCCAGCCCCCCATTATTATTATTATTATTTTAGTTTTTACATTTGTTCCTGACTTGAACACACAGAGAGCTCCAACTTTCAGTGATTCTAAAAGTCAGCCTATTCTATATCTCAGGCCAGACCATTTCTGAGAATTAAGGTAGAGTAGGAACTTGTTAAGATAAAAATGAAAATAAAACCCACCTCCCTCCTGACTCTAACCCTGATTAGATATTAAATAAGAGAATCGCTTCCTCCAGACATGCTGGCCTTCCAGGAATGAGGGGCGGGTGACCACAAACCTCCTGACCCCACCACTGGCCACGGGCCAGCCCGTCTGCACCGTGCATGCCGGGAGGGCCCATTTCCTCTACAGTTGTAACCCATCAGATTTCTGAAGCTTTATGCTGATTATCAAAAACTTTACATTCACTTTTTCCAAAGAAGTAACATGAGGCTAAAAAACAAACAAAAACCACCATTATCCCATGATGCTTTAAGTTATCTCATTTTTGGACAAGAATAAAACCCCACCATTTCTGCTCTGACCACAGATTTGCCAGTGAACAAAACCAACTACAGACCACGAGAGAGCAACGCGTCCTTTGGCCCACCGGGTTGGTGAGCGCAGGCAAGCACGGCGCGTGCACACGCTGCGCATGGGAAGCACAGCTTTCTCCCCCAGCTTTCGCTTCCACAGCCTGCAACGTGAAGATACGTAAAACAGGTCGGTCGTGACACCACGGAGGTGTGAGGAGAGCTATGGGCCACTGACGGGACGAAAGCCTCTTTCTGGACCACTGAAGAGCACTCCTGGATGAAGCCTCCAGAGCTGTAGTTAGTAGCTATTTTGTTTTTTACCCTAATTTCTGAAATGGCAGAATGATCCTGTTAGGTACCCTCCCACCCCCCCAAAAAAAGATTTAAAAATCTCAGCAGAGCCATTATGACAAAATGTGACATGACGAGGAAGCTGCATGAAAATACTGAAACCTAAGGTATTTGTAAGTATACGGATGGACCCTGGCTTACCATACAAAAGTCATCAGATATTAAATAGCACTAAGTCCAAAACAAAGCAAGAAGAGAAGAGTTCATGTAGGATACGGTTTCAACAAGTTATATTTTGAACGTTAAAAGAAATCCTTCATATTAGTAAGTTTAAAAAAAAGCAAACATTTATCTCATATATATATACACACACATATATATATATAAAATAAAGTTTTAGTATGATAAAACCTAGATTTTCTTAAATTATTTTTTAAAAGGATATCAAACTATATAATTGCTCAAGAGCAAAGTTTAGTGTTTTGGTGCGCTGTGCTGCACGTTACTGTAGCCATTCGATCTGGTAACATGCACAGCATTTTCCATTTCGCTCTTTCTCCTGGGACCATATCTAATCAAGAGAATTCCTGGAGGCTCTATAAGTTACCTCAGAATTAATTGCTGGAATCAGGCAAATGGCAGTTTAGGAGCTTAAGTAAAGGAATTGTAGTGTGATATATATTTTTTTGTTTTATGTTTTTTTACAAGAGAAAATCCAGTTCAATTGCACATTTACATTAAAAAAAAAAAAAAACAGAGAGAGAGAGGCACAAAAGAGCTTTTTTTTTCTTTTTTCCAGAGAAGAACTCTAAATTGATAAGAAAAAAGGAACACACATAACTGAAGGAACGTGGCTGAGCATCTCCCCTCCCTCCCTTCCTAAGGTTCCTAGGTACTTCTTGAGGGAAAATAAATGCCACCAGGTACCAGCAATTGTAAGCAGTCAAAATTCACAGAGAAGGTTAACGTTCATTCAAGCTAGCCCTAGAATTCTACTTAGTACAGTGTGACAATGTCTGACATTACTAATTAGTTCATACAAGGACTACTGGAATATACATATCCCAAAGCATTAAATGCAAGTGAACTTTGTGGTTAGACATCTTGGTACATCGGCATCTAGGAGATCCAAGCGTCACAGCCAACCATTTTTGCTAACACTGCTTTCTTGGGAGCTTCCCTAAGTGCTTCCTAAGACAAAGTGTGTTTGTGTGGCTCTTACACACCCTGTAGAAAGGCTTCCCTTTCCTCAGTGGGGCAATTTTAATTAGTAGATAATACTAAATAGAAACTGTTTGCATATAACCGGGAGATGTCCCTACCCCTTCCACCCCCCAAATGAGGAACTAAACCAAAAAGACCTACTCAGATACAACTGTGACTCCTTTGTGTTGTTTTCACCAGGAAACATGGCCAGCAGGTGGCCAGCAGACAGGGAATGTTTGATTCGGGAAGGGAAGCAGAGACAGGAAAGGAAACACCCATAATACCCTCCAGGTCAGACTAGAAGCTCCGTTACACTGCACAGAATGACCCAACTCTGGGTCTGGGCCTTCCATCTCCCTTCAGCTGCCTCTGTCCACGTGTTGGAGCAACAGGCACGACCACTCCAACGCTGCATTCACCTCCACATAAACGCACTTCATCAAAAATGTCCACTGTCAGTGGAAAACATTTCAAACTCAGTGAGGGCACCTGTTTCTGTTTTTCCCCAGAACCAAAAACCACATTCTCTACCTTTCTAGGTAAAGGTATCCCATCACAAAGCTGGCATAGGTGCAAACCACTGAGGGTAAAAATCCACTGAGGCATTTTGTTTTCAAGAGGCCAGATTCAGGACTCGCACAGCACCCTTCTCTGAGCCAACAAAAGTCATCTGGGAGGAAAGAGAAGTGAGCCTACCTACTGCTCAGCGGAGAGGTATATAAAGGTCATCAGAGCCTTTTCTAGAGGGCCTGCTCCAAATGCTACTTCAAACACACACGCACACGCACAATGAATAGACTACCTGAACTACACTTCTCCAGAGTTTTAAAAAATGAAAATAAATAAAGGAATGAGGGCTACTTTTTTTGCTTTTTACACCCAAGGAACACATCCTAGACTTAAAATTTATCTCATTAACAAAATTTCTTTTTCTCTTCGCTGTTTTCAGAGTAAAGACATCTCTTTTTCCCCCCGCTGCAAAGGCATGGAAGCATAATAGAAGGCAAGAGAAGACCAAGGGAATTTGGCCGGCCACGAAAGAATCCCCAACCCACAAAACAGAAAAACAGCCCCAGGCCACGCGCTTCTGCCCCCGTGCTCCCGGCCCCAGCGCGCACGGCCACAAGGCGGCGCCCGGGGCAGGGGCTGTGCGCGTGGCAGCAGTTTTCTCCTGCCGACGTGCCACCGAGTCACTTGTTTCTTTTCCTTTTTTTCATCTCAATAAAAAGAAAAAAAAAATCACCACCCATTTATTCTTTCAGTTCTTCACGATCTTGTGACTCCAATTTGCATTTGATCTTGCTCCAGTATTCTGCGGACACAGGAGACTCGGGGTCATGCTCGGAGCAGCAGAGCCGGCCTTCCAGAGCAGAGGGGACCAGAGCGCCCTCTTCATGATCTTTACAAAATGAGTGTGGGCAGAACTCACAGAAGGAGACGGCAGCACGGCTGCACTCCTCGCACTGATGCCACGGGCATTCCCACTTTCCTACGGAGGGGTGCGAACAGAGAAAAGACCCCATTAGTGCCCCCTCTTGATTACCCGCAAAAAACCCAAGTTTGCACCATCTGCTGAGACTGGAGACTGAATTCAATTAGAAAACAACTCCAAATTCTGGCCAAACTTATGTCTGAGTGTACTATTGAGAATGGATGCGCACTGCATCCCAAACTCACCGCCAGAGAGAGGAGCAACTGCTCGCCATGGTAACAAGGCCCGGGAAACCAATCCTCCTGGCCTGCACCTATCCCACATTTGCAGACAGACTTTTCACTAGCATACTTGGTTTCTAGTGTTGGTTGTTCTGTTCGTTATCCATCCCTTGGCTCCTCTAAGTAGAGCAAAGTACATTCTAGGTGACACATCACTGGCCAAGACGCAAGTCAGGGAAAGGGTCCCGAAAGGCTCACTTACCATATGGTGGCTGAGTCAGGTTAAGGCATAAGAGGTGGTATGCTTTGGGACAGTCTTTTTTGTCACACATGACCAGCTCTCCACCATCTCCACATTGAAAACAGTAGTCTTCATGCATCTGCTTTGGTTCTGCTTTGATTTTTCGCCTCTTCTGCTTTAACTTAGCATTTTTGGCTTTTTCTTCGGCTGTTGACGCACATGTCGACTGGCAGGGAGAAGGAGAACACAGCGTGTGAGGCTCTACATGGAAGGGAAGCTCCCATAGCTTCACACTCATCTGAGTTCTCTTAAGCTCTGTTGTTCAGTTACCTAAAAACCAGCAGGAGGACTTCTCCCATAACAGTACTGTAATAAAAATAAGGCTTCATTTTCACTGATTTTTGAATACTGCGCTTTGCTTTTTTTAAATTGCAAGGATTCACATACCACAGAACTCACCACTTCAAAGTGGCTCATCCAGTGGTTTTGGGTATAGTGTGAATTTTTAAGAACTTTTTGAAAAGGATGTTGGTAACTCCAGATTCAATGAGAAATACAAACATCTCTTCAGAACCTGATGGATCTAAGATCTGCTTCACTGGAAAGTCAGAGAGTCTACACTCTGGTTAACATAATGGCTGCGAACTAAACTGGGGATCCATTCGCCGGCCTGGGGCACTTGCTCCCTGCACCACTGACCTTGGGCCGCACTCCCAGGAAGCCGCTGCAGTTTTCTGCCCCACAGTGGCATTCCGTTCTGCCGTTGCCCAGACAATCCAGGTTATAATTAAATGTTAACTCCATCCCTAAAGTAAGAGAAATAATTACTCATACTCGAGTCACAGGGAAGAGATATGCTGTCACACACGCACTCTCATAATGAAAAGAGAGACATAATTCTGACCTGAAGGCTTTTCTCTCACCCGTGCTCCACACTGAAGAGCGATGGGGGAGAAACAATAGAGAAAAACACCCCCATCCACCAAATACTGCAGAAAAAAACAGTTTATAAAAGCTGTCATATCCTTCTCATTGAAGTGGTCAGAAACTATGTAACAGAGACCAAGAATTGGAAATCTGTGCTCGGGAGAAAAGGGCTCTGGTTTAGCTTGCTTTTCTAAAGCTAATTTACATGGCTTTCTGAATGAACAGTAGGGCCATGGAGTAGCAGCGACCACACGGTCTCTGATGATTAATGCTTTAGAGTGTGCTCGGAGAAGAGCTCACAGTGCGGATTTACTAGTCACACCAAAGACTCAGGGACCCTAACTGGGTCGTCCAAGCTTGCTGCTGGGCTGGTCCTGAACAGAGTCCCGGGGATCAGCTACAGCTCTTCCCTTCTCACCCATTTCTCTAAACCCTGGCAGAGAAGCAGCTAAGTGTTGCTGGTAGGATGCTGGGCGGCTGAGGGAACAGGGAAGCAGTAACTGCCTTCGGAAGCTTTTCGAGTCTAATTTGAAACAGACTGATCTTTCAACTAAAAAACAAACAAACAAACCCTCCCCCAACACAAACCAAGAAAGCAGCTGATGTTAACCCAGTATGTTAATACTTTAAGAGAACAAAAGCTTAAACATCTGGTTGTATTGTGCAGACAGCAATAATTGGGAGAAGTCATTCAGGAGGGTCGTGGACACACAGGATTCTGTAACATCCTCTTGGACAGAAAGGCTCTTGCTCAACTCCCTTTTGCAGGACACGGATTTTCACTTCTTCGTGGCAGATAACAATTCCAAATGTAACCCCATTGTACTTGAATAAATACTTGAGCATCAAACCTGGAAGGATATTCTGCCCAGAGAGGGGCACATGGAGAACAAATAGCTTTTTTACCTGCAGGAATATCACAAAGGGCAAAAAGCCCCACTCTAACATCTCCATTCACTGTCCACTTTTGTGTTTCACAGTTTGGATTACAACTGTGGTTCATAAAGCGAGAATAATTTCCTTTGGGGCCAGCATCAATTATACGGTCCTTCAGAAAGAAAAGAAATGGAGGTAGCTTTGACATAAAATCAAGTACAAGCCTATCTCAGAAACATCCAACACCAGCCCAAGTCTATGGCAACTGCCAACTCCCCCAACACATGCTCTCAGGGCCGGTGACCAAGTTGTCTACTTTATTTGATGAGCTTCAAGCCAAGACAATGAAGATAAAGTGGAATTCAGTTTCTATTTTTTTAAACTTTGTTTCTAGACACAGATCACAGAAAAATGCTACTTAGAAAATGAACTGGCCGCGGGCATGCAGGAGCGCAGAGCTCAGCCAGCCGCCTGGGATGGGAACCATGCTGCTGGCTCTCAGCCCTCCTTTCCTGCAAAACCAGTGCAGGGGTAAATGGACAGGACAGCACGCCATAAAGAGGGACAGAGGAAGTATGGGAGACTTTCCTCTGAATGAAGATCCGGACGTTTGATCAATGGAAGGGCTATCACGTGAGACATACTCTGCAGTGGTTACCTGCTCCTCCTATTTTCACTTACACTGACGTTCAGAACACAGTAAAAAGCTCAACATTCTGGCCCTGAATTCAAACTCTGATCATCTGGATGAGTTCTGGTGGACGGAGCCTCCCAAGTTTCGTCAAGATGGCTGGAGGGCCTCCAACAGTGAGCAGTGGACTTGAAGGGCCACTCAGCCATTAGAAATAAAT